CCTAGCTTAGGGAATATTTAGAAAAGCTAAACATATACAAGTTCATAGGGCCAGATGGGATGCATCTGAGGCTGCTACGGGTGTTGGCTGATGAGATTGCAGAGCCACTAGCCATTACTTTTGAAAATTCTTGGTGATCAGGAGAGGTCCTGGATAATTGGAAAAAGGGTAAACATAGTGCCCATATTTAAGAAAGGGAAAAAGGAGGATCCAGGGAACTGCAGACCAGTCCGCCTCACCTCAGGTCTTGGAAAAATGATGGAGCAGATCCTCAAGGAATCCATTTTCTAAGCACTTGGAGGAGAAGGGGATTAGGAACAGTCAGCATGGATTCATCAAGGGCAAGTCATGGTTGACCAACCTGACTGCCTTCTATGTATGACAAGGTGACTGGCTCTGTGGATGCAGGGAGACCAGGGGATGTGGTATACCAGCAGTTGTCAACTGGGAGTACAGGGGAAGGCCCTAGGGGGTACACGTGGGCAGGCGGGGACGGAGCACCGCTACCCACCACCCCATGCTGCCGCCTCCCAGGAGCAGGGCTGGGAGGAAGGGGGATGAGGCCAGTGGTGCCCCTCTGGGCTGCACAGGTGCCACATGGCTCGCCAGACGGGTGGGGGGCAGTTGGACACCCACCACCCCTGCTGTTGCCACTCCAGCTCTCCTTCCCCAGTCCATGTCTAGCCATGTGCCATGGCCCCATGCTCCACGTCTGGTCATGTGCTACTCTTTCACCTGCCCCCCCACCCTGCTCCGCATGTGGCCATGCGCTACCCCCCACCCCTGCTCCATGTCTGGCTGCCAGGGGTACACTTATTAAAAAAGGTTGAAAACACCTGTGGTATACCTTGATTCTAGCAAGGCTTTTGATACAGTCTCCTGCAACATTCTCCCAGGCAAGCTAAATAAGTATGGGCTGGATGAGTGGACTGCAAGGTGGATAGAAAACTGGTTAGAGCATCAGGCTCAGAGACTAGTAATTGATGGCTCAATGTCTAGTTGGCAGCCAGTATCAAGTAGAATGCCCCAGGGGTCAGTCCTGGGGCCAGTCTTGTTCAATGTCTTCAGCAGTGACCTGGAAGGTGGCATAGAGGGCACCCTCAGCAGGTTTGCAGATGACACCAAGCTGTGGGGAGTAGTGGATACACTGGAGGGCAGGGCTAGAATTCAGAGTGACCTAGACAACCTGGAGGATTGGGCCAAAAAAATCTCATGTGGTTCAACAAGGACAAGTACAAAGTCCTGCACTTAGGATGAAACAGTCCCTTGCACCAGTACCATGGGGGCTGACTGGCTGGGCAGCAGCCCTGCAGAAAAGGACCTGGGTGACACAGTGGACAGTAAGCTGAATATGAGCCAACAGTGTGCCCTTGTTGCCAAGAAGGCTAATGGCATACTGGGCTGCATTGGTAGGAGTGTTGCCAGCAGGTCAAAGGAAGTGATTCTCTACCCCTCTATTCAACACTGGTGAGGCCACATCTGGAGTGCTGTATTCAGTTTTGGGACCCCACTACAGAAATAATGTAGAGATATTGCAGAGAGTCCAGCAAAGGGTGACAGAAATGGTGAGGGGACTGGTGGACATGACTTATGAGGGAAGACTGATCAAACTGGGCTTATTTAGCTTAGAAAAGAGGAGATAGAGAGGGGATTTAATAGCAGCCTTCAACTACCTGAAGCGGGGTGCAAAAGAGGATGGAGCTAGACTGTTCTCAGTGGTGGCAGGTGCCAGAACAAGGAGCAATGGCCTCAAGTTGCAGCAAGGGAAATTTAGGTTAGATATTAGGAAGACTATTCTCACTAGGAGAGTAGTGAAACACTGGGACAGGTCACCCAGAGAAGTAGTGGAAGCTCCATCCTTGGAGGTTTCCAAAAGCTGGCTAGATAAAGCTTGCCTGGGATGATCTGGGTGGGGATGGTCCTTCTTTGAGCAGGAGTTTGGACTAGGTGACCTCCTGAGGTCCCTTCTAGCCCTAATTTTCTATGGTTCTATGATTTTTAAAGTAACTCTTCTAATGTTCTGGAGCACAGTAGAACTTTATTTGTGACTGATGTTCAACAAATTTGCTTATTAAAATGGAAAGAGGGAACAGTGAGGATTTGAGAGGTAGAATGGCTGACAGCTGTTCCATGGCTAGTACTCGGGTCCTTAGAGGCAAGTATGCATTTGCTACACAAGGTTGTGAAGTAACTTGCTGCAACTATTTGTATGTGTATCTGCAGCTGGATTTTTTTTTTAATGCTTTAATTCAAATATTTATATAGGAGAAGTGTTTTGGTGAAACTATGAAATGAATTGTTCAGTCCAGGAAATGGTGTCTGTCTTGAGTCATGTCCCCACCTAGGTCTTGTAAAACATGCTTTGTTTTCTATATGATTTTTACAGAGTGTTTTTTTTACTAGTATGGTAGTATGTGATTATGCAACTTTTTAAATTTTGAGTATCCAGATATGAAATTAAGCCAATGGAATGGTTACATTTATATCTAAGCTACTCTGTGTGTATCTTATAGGTGTGGTTGGTTGCACCATCTGCTGTTAGGATTGCAAAATACTTCCCATAATAACACCTTTCTTACAGTTGGCAAGAGTGATGCATATCTAAGTTGTACTGTGAGTATATGTATATTACACATAAGTGATCAGCTCTAACTGTTTGTTTTAGGAAAGTATCTTGCGTTGTTTTATGTTGTCCCATAGCCCTCAGGTCATAATTCCCTTTAGGACTAAAGGAAGTTACATATTTGCATCTTTGGGGAATACTTAGTGCTCTGTGACATCTGGCATTTATTGCATACCTGTAGCATGCTCCCTTTCCTTTTCTGACTCTATTGTACTTATTTTTACATTTAGTAGCACTTCAGGTTAAAGAGTGCTTGCTTTCTTTTTTGATAGCAACTCTACCATGTACCAAATGGACTGTCTACCAGGAATTTCTCCCGTGGCATGGTGTATGGTGTAGTACACAGGACTGACAATAACCATAAGAATGAAATGGTTGTTTATGGTTGGTCAGCAGACCAGTTGAAAGAAGAGATGAATTACATAAAAGATGTGAGTTTTATATAATCCTTTTAAATGTAAATATCTTTTCTTAAATGTCCTTTCCATTTGTTGTCAGTGTGAATACATAGGATGGTTGTCCTGTCTGTTGACAGCAGGTATTGAGCTGGGGAAGGGTTCCCCGAATGCTAAAAATTTGAATCTCTCCTGCTTGAATGAAAGAGCCATGTCCTGTTCTGCTATGAGACCCTATAATAAACTTACGCTTGCTGGTTGCAAAGGGAAGAAACCTAAGCACATGCTGACTAAAGTGATTTCATTCCCACTTCCATTAGAGAAGTAAACTGCCGAAGAAACCGCGTGCCTCCCCTGCAGGCCTTATAATCCCAAATCAAATTTGGAAAACTTGTGTAAGCAGCCAGTTAAAAGAATGACCATAATGTCTCTAGGTTTGTGCTGGCTTCTGAACAAGGTGAAATTGTCCCCAAAAGTCCTGAATAAATGGACTAACTTGAGAGGATTGTCTAATAAAAATGGGCTTCATACGGATTTCTCTGCAGTTATTTAATGTGATGGTAATAAAATAACCTTTCTATAAACATGTTAATAAATTCAGGTTGCAACAGCTCTCCTGAAACAAAAAAGCACAATGGAATTTGATGAGCAGTCCACACAATTACACCTCCTGCCGTTCACATGTGCCAGTCAGGAGGTGTGATTGTAGGATTGATCATTAGATCCCTTTGTCCCTTATTGTTGATGTAGGGGGAGTCTGATCCTGGGCTTCCCCTGCACCAGCAAGAAGCAAGCTCCCATGGTTTGTAGCCCCTTCAGTTGAGGGGCTTCCAGCCACGAGTGTGCCCCAGGTACTAGTGGAGCTGGGGGATCGCAGCTGCCATGATCCCCAGAGTTTGGGAGTGCATGAAACTTCTGGGCCTGGTGGATCGTGGCAGCCATGATCCCCCAGGCCTGCGGGTTCCATGTACCTCCGAGCCTTGGGAATTATGGCAGCCACAATTCCCCAGACCTAGGGGTTTCCTGCTGGACATGGTGAACCCCTGTGGTGGGAAGCCCGGTCAGTTGATGGGGCTTCCAGCTGCAGGGGAGACCCTGCTACACATGCAAACTAAAGCTTGATAGCAGCCAGCTATAAAATTAGTACACACTTTTGAGATCTAACTTTATATAGGTGGTTGGAGTTTTATTTATCATGTGATGAGTACTTTGCATGTGTAGCTGATCTTGAGGTAGTTGTGCAATTAACTAGTTAATAGTGTGGTACCTGTAAGTGTAGTGGGAGCCTCTGAGTTCTGTGCTTAAAGTCCAACAATTTATTTTGGAGCCAGATGTTCCACTTGTTGCTTTTTGGCTCTCCAGGGTTTGTCAGTAGTCTCCCTAACTAGTACAGAGCCAAGTAGTCTGCCTTTTTGTTCATTCACCTCTATTGTCTGTGAAGGCAGTTTATGGAAGATGGCCAACAAATAGCATGGTGTAATAATTCAAGCACAAGAGAATAACACTGATAATAAAATGAAGAGGATCATTGAGAGTTGGGCTAATTTATCTGTACTTTACAGGTTTACGGGTACTTGCAGTCTTTTTTTTTTTTTTTCATGGTTACAGACTATTTTACTAATATCAAGATTATTTGATTTCTTCTATCAAGTGGCACAACACAGTGCTATGAAGAGATACCTAAGCTAGTTCTGAATGGTTGAACCTGGGTATCAGAAGGAAGATAGTCATGTTAGGGGTGCTCTTATCCTGGGTTGATTTAGCCCTTTAGAGAAGCAGGGCATTTTAGTCCAGACAGCACCGCACTAGCATGGCTTTACTGTTTCTGATACCTGAATAGTGCCAGATATAATCTGCACAACACTGCACAGATCTCCAGATGGACTAGTTTATCCTCTTGAGAGGCAGGGTAAAATAGCTCAGCTTGGTGGTCCGTGCTGTTGGAAGTAGACTGCTTCCAGTACCCATGCTATCTCATTTTTAGAGTTGTATCTAGTGTCTTTGCACCAAGCTGCAGCGTGCAGTGCAGACATACCTTCACTTTCTCTAAATATTCTTGTTCCTGTTCACCATTGGTCTGTTCCTTTTATATAATCATTTACACCAGTGCAAAGAGGGCCAGCCATTATGGGGTGGGCATGTCCATGTTCAGAGTAGTTAAGGCCATTTTCTAAGAATCTATTCTGTAAAGTCCCCTGAAACATTGTACCTTTACGTGTATGTGTTGTCTTACATGCATATACAAATGAGTCCCTCATAGTACCAAAGGATTGTCTGCGTGGAAGCCTTCAGGAAAAATAATTCTGGATGAATGTGTCCACATCAAAGCCTGATGTGGCTTGGCTGATCCACTCTAAAATTTTAATGAGGGCTTAATTCATTTCCAGAATAAGGCCTCTTTTAATTAGGAATAAGTCTGTCCACACACAGGTGTAATGTAGTTTAAGTAATCCTTCTCAGATTCCTCTATTACCCTCATTTCAGTTGGATTAACTTTCTGACGCCCAATGAATACAAGATCAGAGATTCTCAGATCAGGGAAATATTTGAGGCATTGCAGATATGACTGGGCAAATGTTTGTTTAATAATGGTGATCACTGTGTGCAGTCCTTGTTTTTTGGGATGCAGTGTTGTTTGGTTTTTAATCTGAATGATGCTGGTAACAAAGTTTGAATAATAAAGTTTTTAAATTTGCCTGATAACAGGTGAGAGCAACTTTGGAAAAAGTGAGAGAGCAAATGTATGGGGAGTATGATGAAATGAAACGGAAAATAAAGCAACTTACCAACGAATTGACAGTAAGATCACATTTATTTGTAATTATGGTGCAATGGGGGATCCACACAAGATTTGCCCAAGAAACTTTATGGACTGCAGGATGAGTCAGAGGGGGAAAAGTATTTTAACATTTTCAGTTTTACTTTTCATGTCTCTATACTTCTGATTTTTTTTTTTTCCCACTAGCAGGAAACAGACATTCTTCTTTAGAAACATTAAAACCTGGTGTTTCTGAATGTAATGTATTCTCTGAGATGCTGAGGGATTGTTGCATGATTCTTTTGTTTCACTGCCCTCCATCACTGAATAGCAGCAGAGAAACTAGAGTTAATTTCCCCAAGGGTCCTGGTCCCCTGACTGAGCTGGGTTACTCTATAAGCTCTGGGATCCATGTGGTAAGACTGCTCCAGAATTGTCTCTAGTGTCTTACTGGGGAGGCTACCAACAAATTGGGAAGGATGGTAACCCTGCTTGTGTTTTCATGGGAACCTTGATTTTTTGGGGGGAGAAATGTTTCACTTTTAATGAATCTCTATTTTCTGAAGAATCTGTTTGGTCCAAAAATTCCTGACAAGCTGTAGTAGCATCTCCCAGATTTGCTTCCAAAACTAAATGAATGAATGAAGGAAAAAAAATCCTTCACCCATTGTTGGACACCTTCCTCATACTTTTGTATGCCTTTAAAATATGTATGTTGGTTCCTTTTTCACTTCCTTTTATTTCCTGTGGAAAAATGTGAACAGAATATAAGTTTAATTTCTTATCTTTGAATGCTTTTTCTACCCCAAATGTTGTCTTAAAGGCTAAACCGGATCCCACTGAAGCCACTGGGAGTTTTGCTTTTGATCTCAAAGAGATCAGGATGTGGCATAAGAGGTGTGTCTACATGCAACACTACATCACTGTAGCAATGAGCTATTGCGCTGTAGCTCATTGCTATGGTGACATACTGCTGCTGGGCAGGAACTGTGACAGCGATGGTACTCTGCAGTAGCAGCTAAAAATAACTGTGCTTAAGCAAATACTAAATGATGGTGCTGTAACAATTGCACAGTCCAGTGCACGTATAGACACGCCCAAGAGGCAAAAGAAATTTCAGGGACACACCTAGGCTGAAGGCAATTGTGGTATAAAACATTTTAATCTCTGTGACCAGTGTTAGGGTATTCCACCTGCTGTATGCTAAGCCTTTTTTTTTTTTTTTTTTTTAAAGTTAATGGTTACTGATAGATCCAGAAACCATAAATGTTATAGATATGAGGACAATAATGTCTTTCAGCCCTGTATGAGTCAAATGAACTGTATGCAAGATAACAAAAGTACTATGGGTATATGGGTCAATATGCATTCAGTGCCTCTCCAGTATTTCATTCCTCAGATTCCCTATAGCCAAAGACTGAGCTTTTTTACCTCTAAGCACTCTTCTCTTCCTGTTGTTTGTTGCTTTTGACCTCCCAGGCATAATTTCATTAATTCACACTCTTACAGTCTTGGTTTACATGTATACACACTCCGCTACAAAGTGCACTAGCTTCTGCTGATCTTCTGACCCAGTTTGTGTGTGGCTTGATTAATATATAGTAATTGGTAAAACAGGGGTGGGTAAAATACAGCTGGTGGGCTGGATCCAACCTGCCAGGCACTTTAATCCGGCCTGCAGCACCCCACAACGAATTGTGCCCTGCCCAGCCCTTCCCCACCCCATGAGGCTGGGAGTGAGGCAGCCACGTGTACAACCTCCTCCCCCTCACCCCCAAATACTGGTCCTTGCTCCCATCATCTTGGGCAGAAGTGCCCTGCCCAGCCAGCAGCAGCTTCTGGATGGGGCTTCTGTTGTAGTTGCCCCATGGGAACCTGCTTGAGTTTCTGGAAGTCCAACTTGCTCGGAGCAGCATGTAGGGGCCAGGGGTAGGTGGGGAGCTGGAAGTATAAACCACAGCACAGACTCTGCACCCAGGGTGGTGGTGGGAGCATGGAGCTTGGCTGGGCAGGGTGAGGGTGCACATATTCTCCCCCATGGTGTGCAGCTCCTGCTGCCATCAGCAGCAGGCGGGGAGGTCAGGGTGCTTGTGCCTGGCGCAGGCACCCAGTCGGGCACGGCTCTGACCATCACTGCATGCGGCAGGGGAGGGGGGAGTGCAGCCTTCCTGGCTACCTGTATTGCTGGGGCTCCATGCTGTGCACCTGCAGCTCCATCACTCACAGCAGGAGAAGCCCCGTGCTGGAGCCTGCTGCCTTCCCTGCCCCCTGCAGCACAGGTCCCTGTACTCTGCCAGGACTGGTGGGAGCCTCACCCTCTCCTTCCCTGTGGAGTCGAATGCGGGGCTTTCTTGCTGTGAGTTTGGGAGCTGCAGGTGCGTGGTTCTGAGCCCCTGTAATAGAGGCTGCTGGGCAGGCTGCCCCACTGTCCCCCAGTGCAGTGCTGGCCACTTCTATCAAAGGGGCTTTGTACCACATGCCTGCACTTGTGGCAGGGAAGAAGCCCTGTGCTGGACTCTGCGGGGAAGTGGGGGGCTGGGCTCCCTTCATTCCTGGCAGAGTGCGGGGACCTGCACCTCAGGGGGGTGAGGAAGGCAGCAGGCTCCAGCACGGGGCTTCCCCCACTTCGAGTGATGGAACTGCAGGCCCACAGCGTGGAGCCCTGCTGATAGAGGCAGCTGGGTAGGCTGCACTCCACCCCCACACAGCGCTGGCCAGAGCCGTGCCCTACCAGGTGCCTGCACCAGGCCCAAGTGCCCTGACCTCCCCACCTGCTGCTGTTGCCAGCAGCAGGGGCTGAACACCATGGGGGAGTGTGGGGTGTCCCTACACCCCTCCCCACCCTCCCTCACACCCCATATTCTGCCCCCACAGCTCCCACTGACATGCACCCCAACATACCCTATGCCCCCCTACACAACCACACCGTCTTGCAATGCTCCCACACCTCCCCCCACACACACACACAAAAAAGTGGCACTGTATTTTTTGAGTT